ATCAATGCAAGAACCTGTTAGGCTTTAGCCAGAATGCACTGAACAAGAAACTGTTTTCTTTGTCTCTAATAATGTGACAAAGAAGCATTTGTCACATTATTAGAGACAATTATGATCAGATTCCTAAGGGGTGCAGGAGATATACACAGCAGAGTCAAGATATTTGCAGTTAATGTTTTGTTCAGTAGATTTTTGCTTGCCCCTCCAGATTTTGCATAGTTTATTATTGCTATGCTTATTACAATTTTATTTTAATGATTTTGTTTTGTTTTTTAAAGTTGCAACTTTTCATGTAAAGGAATCTATATATAGAACAGGATAGAAATGCCCCAAATAGATTCATTCATTCATACATACATACATACATACATACATACATACATACCTGATGTGGGAAGATTCCTAGTCTACTAGCAAGGCATGATCACAGCATGCTGGGATTGTTGAAAACAACCTTTCCTCCCTGAAAGCAACAACGGGATACCAATGTGGACCACAGAGTCATTAAGAGCCTACAAACATGAGATCTCCACCTATAGTACATGGACTACATGGGATGAACTGCCTGAATGCATCCATTCCCTGAAATATATTTCATGCCAGTGTGTCCTTATTAAGCAATTACTGGTGTTCCACACTCCCCTGAAGAAAGATCTATGCTACTTTTCAAAAATGTCTCTTGAAGAATAGATAATTTCCCCGTCCTGTCTCCTTAGCCCATGCTTACCCTCATCCTCAAATTATGAGAATCTTACAACACTTGGTAAAGGAAAAACCCAAAGAAAATCCAATTCACATTCAGATCCAAATGCTAATTGCCGAAGATGAAGTGATGTGAAATGCGCAAGGCCAGCTTTCCTTAACCTGGTGTCCCCCAGATGTGTTGCACTCCAACTCCTCCCATCTCCAACCAGTAGTTTAACACATCTGGAGAGCACTAGGTTGAAGGAGAGTACTTCAGCTCAGTTACAATTAAGCAAATTGAACCGAACAGAGAATAAACAATGAACAAAGTTTATTTTCTCACCACAAAAATGAGACCCTAAGCATTTCCTGAGTTTGTCAGGTATTGTTCATGCTCATAATGGGTATTTGTTCATAGCAGGAGGTGGAAATAGATTTTAAAAGAAAAATATACTACTGGGAGCACGGGCGTCTGCAGGAATTTTTCCAGGGGGCCCTCAGTGCCGCAGTGCACAGGAGTATGTGGTTGTAATTCATGTGCATAGCATGCACCACTACAATATACACGTGCAGTTTCTTTCTGTGTCTGCTTTGTTGCTTGGGATTGGCTTCCAAGGCATTTAGAGCCTACTTGGAGTTATAGAAGATCTTCAGTACTGAACAGCACTAATGCAGAAGAGTGTTCTATTCAAAAAGAATCATGAAATCCAACACAACTTTATTTGGTGGGAGGGATAAAAAACTACAGCAACAACAACTAAGAAGAAGCAGAGGGAAAATCCTGTTTGGGATATTTTATGGCATTATTGCCTTTATCATAATGTTAACTTCATATGACTTTTCCTAGACTTATTTTCTTCATCCTACTGACATTGTTAAACACTCTTTAGAAGAGTCTTCTCCAGTCTGTTGCCCTCCAAATGTTTTGGACTACAACCCTAGTATTCCTGACCATTGGCCATTCTGTCTGGAGTTGAGTGGAACTGAAGTGCATCGGACTGGGGAAGCAGCTCTAGAAAGTAGCAGACATGATTGGGGATTGGCTTTTGGAGCAGAAGAAGTAAATATGCTTGCTTAGGTTCGTGGCTTGTAGTGCGGCCGGGACCACAAATTTTACTTTTCGTGCTATCAGCTACTTTCTATATCTGCTAACAACCCAACTTTTAAATGGATTGGATTTTGTATTGCAGCAATGTTCTTTTGGAATTGCATATTTCATTCCTGTAACTGCCCATTTTGGGAATGATTGTGCTCAACAACAACAAAACCCCTAATAGTATCAGAGAATAGATCCACTATTTCAGGTGACTTGGGTAGTAACAAGTCCTTTCTCCACGGATAGGTAGAACCAGCCTCTAGGAAATGTGTAGATAGGTCTGTATGCTGTTCTATTGTTTCTTAATGAATTGACCTAGTGTCTGAACAATGCCTTTCCACCTGCGGCTAAAATCGTCAATTATTTCCCTGATTCCTTATCTCCCTGTAATGGCCCTTGGATTAGTGGCCTTCACAGGAGTGAAGGACATGATTACTATTGGTGGTGGTGGTGGATTTACCTGCTCAGCTTGCAGTCTACTTCTTAAGCTCTGCTCTGTAGACAACACACAATAGGTTCAGGTACCTTCACAACAGGTTTATTTATTACTACAATACACAAGAAGACAATAACTTCTGAGGAGCTGCATGGCACACGGTCTTAGCTTCAAGATGTGCAATAAAAGATGGGGAGAGTCTTCTTGGTTATTAGAAGCTACCATAGTACATGATAACAGTATCAATTTAGCATGCAATCTTGCACATCTTAAGCTCTGCTCTGTAGACAACACACAATAGGTTCAGGTACCTTCACAACAGGTTTATTTATTACTACAATACACAAGAAGACAATAACTTCTGAGGAGCTGCATGGCACACGGTCTTAGCTTCAAGATGTGCAATAAAAGATGGGGAGAGTCTTCTTGGTTATTAGAAGCTACCATAGTACATGATAACAGTATCAATTTAGCATGCAATCTTGCACATTCTGAGTGTTCCAGATGCAATGCTGTCATTATTTAATAAGCCTTAGGGCAGCTTTGTTAGGAAATGTGGGATCCCTTTATTGCACAAACAGGTCTGAGTTTGGGAAAGTAATGCCTTTCTGTGGATCTCAGCTACTTAGACTGGGGAATATTAATAGAACTAAAGCAGTGTAATAATAATGGTCTAATCACAACCTAGGTATAGCAGAGAAGCATAGCCCTAGCTAACTGCCCTGTAGATGGCCCCCAAAACTGATTTGCTCAAGTACTTTAGGATTTAAATTATCACTATTCCTCTTGTGTAATTGAATTTCTTATTTAAAGACACTAAAATGTTCAGACACTAAAATGTGGGGTACTTGTGTTCCCTGCTTTTTGATATGATCCTAAGCCTCGTTAAATTCGGAGGAGGGGTGGGTTATTACAAAATACCAACATAAAAGCATTTTCAGTGTGGATTTGCACATGTTTACTTCAGTCATTATTACTAGATAATGTGCCTAATTAACTGTGCAGGTACAGAAAACAGTTTTCTGTGACTGTGAACTCTCAGAGACAGAGGAAAATATCAGAAGAAAATTATTGAGCTGGAAAGAATAATGGTCTTCATCATCTTGGAGTGGAGCAGATTCCACAACTAGAGATAGTTAGGAAAAACATGCTAAGAGATCTTGGCAGTGATGAGATGGGTGTAGCAAGGTCACAGAATCAAAGGAACATACAGGAGGTAAGCAGGTTTATGCAATTATGGAGGGAAAATAAGGCTTTCCTGCTTAATTTCCCACCTACCTCATTTCCATAACTGCCCTTTGCTGGTCACCGTTTGCTGTGATGTACAACCCCAGTGAAGGTAGGTAGCCGGGGAGGTTGATTGCAGGGTGGTTTGTCAGCCTTCGCAGCCACCCACTGCCACCAGGTTCAGACATCTCAACAGCCTGCACCCTGCAAGGGAAGTTATTCTAATTAGGCAGCTTGCAACTGCCTCAGCCACTGTGGCTTATTTTCCCTCCATAAGTCTGTGAACTAGGTCACAGAGAGAAACAGAGCTGTGAAGAACCTTGGCTGTGATGTAGGGACTAAGCCCATTTCTCTGAAAATAGAGCTTTCCAAGGTTGTTGCCTCAGAATCTGAATCAGAACTGGAAGAAAGGGCAGGATTGGAATTCTTAGCTGAAATGCCAAGGCCAGCAGGCCCAGTGAGAAGCCAGGAAGCCAATGAGAACCAGACCACATCTGGTCCTGTGAGAAACTCCATTAACAGGCAGAGTTAGATGAGGGTAGTTGTAACATTATTACTCTGGTTGTGCAAGATAAGATCAAAACGGCAGATCAGCTGAGTACCATCATATGTTCTCCCTGATTGGCCCTGGAGGTGAAGTTTGTGCCTTTTGGTTGGGAGGGGAGGTGAGAGATGCAGTTTGGAATCAACTTCTTATCATGAATCAACATTTTCCTAACAGCTGCTATTCTAATTCTGTTAGTGATTTTTGTTAATCATCTCTGCAGTACTCTTTTTGTTTTGTGTTTTAGTTTTTTGTATCACAAAACAAGCCTAACTGGCCTGTTTATAGAGACTTCAGTTAGAAGCCTTTTGTCTTGAGGAGTGTGTAGCTGGTGACAGAACCTCAATCGGCAATTATGTATATTTTAATGGAAAATATTACATGTTTTGTGATCAGAATGTTAGAGGAACCTACTGTTTGATATGCCTTGAGTCCTTTTAGTGACAGCAGGATAAGGGCCGCCAAACACGTATCTAACTGGGCTGGATCCAGACTTTGTCATTCTTGGAGCAAACCTGTTGAAATCAAAGAGGCTTTCATTATCCATGACTAAGTTACGTTCCATTGATGGGTGGGTCCTCAGTACAATGTAGTCTGAATCAATGCACAGTTATTCAAACTGAATGTGCTGTTGTACACTGGAGATAATTAGATAATTTTCTTCATTTGATGCTCTAGCTTAATTTTTAGAGTGGCTGCCTCTCATAATATTTGTCAAAGTTTTGTTTTCCAAAGCACTTTTCAGGTTTAAACATGGCTCTTCATGTGTGGCTGAGTGATGAATAATAGTGTTATGCAAATAAATCTGTCTTAAATTGTTGGATTCTCTGGTTTCCACCAATGGTGATGATGATGATTATTTTTTTACTATTTTGATAGATTTTGTTATTGATTCATTGTAGGTGCCTTGAAACTTCTGTGCCTATGGGAAAGCATCTTTTGCATTTTTAAAAAGATTTTAAAATAGACCTTCTTATAGACTCCCACTCATTTTTATTTATTTATTTATCTAGGTCAGGATGAGATCCCGAAATCAAGGTGGAGAGAGCTCATCCAATGAGCATTTCTCCAAGGCCAAGTCTATTAACAACACCACAGAAAATCAAAACTTTCAGGAAGATGCAAAGAGAAAGAAATCAAATCGAAAAGAAGATGAGGTCTCCAGCTCTGGAACAGTCAAGCAACACAGCAAATTGTGTGGTCCTAATGAGAAGAAATCCAAGAAATCAATAGAGCTTTCTAAAGAAGACCTTGTCTGGCTTCTAAGTATAATGGAAGGAGAATTACAGGTATATTGGAAATTCTCTCTGATTTTTTTTTAAGATTTGCATTTATATAGTACAAGAAACATTTGTGCCCTGGTCCAAGGGTGGTGGAGGGCTGTTCCTCATCAGAGGTTTTACAGCATTTCCAACTTGAGATTTCTTGCCCTGAGCAAATGGTGGACTAGATTGCCTACAAGGCCCCTACAACTATCCTGTGAATATAAGACATAAGCTATATTTTTATATATTTTAGACTATTTACATACTGCTTCCCATTTTAAGCATCCTGAATTAGTTTACAACAAATTATAAAACAATTATCATTTTTATTTCTATGTTTTTGAAAAGTACATTTAAACAAGTTAGTGGTCAGGAAAAGGCAGTGTAAACTAGTAATTTTAAATAATAATTGAAAGCACATGATCATCACTGCCTGGCATGACGAAAAGGGGAAGTTATACCAGAGGGAAGGGGCCAACAGAGAGAAGACCTGTTGCCATGTTGCTATCTGTATAAGCCCGGCTCATATAGATGAGTTGGTGATAAAAATGTAAGCTGAACAAACCTTGGCCAAGTTATGCTCCTAATGAGACAATTGCTTCATGGTTACTTCACATTCACACTGAGTCTGCTAAAGAAACATGGTTACTATGTTAACCTGGTTGTGTGAATTGACCCATAAGAACAAACTGATTGAATGGACATCCAGAAAGGGAAGAATGATTTCTTAGGCATTTCTTTGCTATAGCCAAGTCAGGAAAGTCAAACACTTTAGTTAACCATTATGATCTGTCTTCAGATGACAACATTCTCTATGGACTAACTTTCCTCAAAATGGCACTCTCCAGAATACAACTCCCATCATCCTGAACCATGGGTTGTACTCGTGGCAGCTGATGGGAGTTGTCGTACAGAATATCTTGATGGCATCCTGTTGAGGAAGTCTGTCTTTTACTATGATGTCCAACCCACAGAATATACCCCAGTAGACAATGAATAACTGGGCTCAGTGAAACACAGGAAGCTCAGTCATTACAGCAGCAGTATACTTTCAAATGTATTAGGATAGCCAGTGCAACTCATATTTGCTGCCCCTCCTAACACTTGGTCTTTCCAAATATTTCCTTCACTTAATTTCTTCCTCTATAAAAAGGTGCACGCATTTATGCTGGGAACCAAGAAGTTACTCGTAGATTTTTTTCATGGAGCTTGTTACAATCACGAAAGGAGAGCAATAGTATCATAACCTGTGTGTGTGTGAAGAGCATGATTTAATGAGGGGTTTAATGAGAAAAATTCAACCATGTACTGAAGTCTTACCTTGAGATCAATAGGACTTAGAAATGGTTCAATGGGAAAGAACTGTGCTCTAAGTAAAGAAAGGAGGAGTGAAGAAAGACATTTTGGTAAAAGAAGGACAGTATCTATACAGGTGCTGCAAACGTGCTTGTTCTCTTGCACTGACAGAACCAACCATAGCACAACAGGAACAAGAAACAACCCCAGAAATGAATGGAACTGCTTCTTTCCGTCATAGAGCAGGTCTGTGGAATTCCTTTCTGGCATTTCCACACATTTCTGATTGCTTCAGGAACTGAGAATTCCAGAACTCACAAGCAGTGAGTTCTACTAGAACAGGGGCAGTGTAGGATATTCTCATAACTGGTAGAAGTTCATGAGAAAATATATTTTAAAATGATGAATATTTCCTTAACAAATCATTTTGCAACTATATTTGCAATCATTAGCTTATATACTTGCACCCTGCAAGGCAAACCTTAATGCTGTCTTATGGCTTTGCTTGTGAGAATTTATTTATTACTACAGTTATATCCTGCCTTTTTGCCTTTCAGAGAATTCAAGATGGCTTACATAATTCTCCCACACCTCTCAATGTTGTCATCGCAAGAGCCCTGTGAGGTAGATGGGCTTAGAGCCTGTGCCTGGGACAAAGTCACCCAGTTAGCTCCATGGCTGAATGGGGACTAGAGCCCAGATCTCCCGAGTCCCAGTCTCAAACTCTTAACCACTCTACCACACTGGCTCTTAGACATTCCTTGGTTTCACAATGACATCTAATGCATGCCTACTCAGAAGTAAGCTCCATAGAATGGAATAAGAATGGGAAGGATCCAAAAAAGCCATTGAGTTCAACCGCCTGCTCCATTTCTATATGTGGCCACCCATCTAGCTAAAGGTGTAGTAAAAGAGAGAGAGAGAGAGAGAGAGAGAGAACCAGTATGGTATAGTGGTTAAAAACATGAGTCTGGGATTCAGGCGACCTGGATCCTACTTCCCACACAGCCATGGAGCCAATTGGGAGCTTTTGGGCCAGTCAGAGCCTCTCAGCCCAGCCTACCTGAAAGGGCTGTTGTTGTGGGGATAAGATTGAAAACAGGAGGAGGAAAATGATGTAAGCCATTCTGTGTTCTTTAAAATAAAAAGTGCAGGATATAAATCTATTATATGTTTGCTTATTTATTAGATTTTCATCCTGCTCTGTAGCCAGACGTAAAGGCCCCCACCTTTTCAGCTTAGCAAAGGTGATTTGACATGCTAGCTCAATGTATAGCTATGCAGGCAGTTTGGTTGATTTGATTATCTGGAAGAACAATATTTTCCTGGAAAGCTAGGCCAGAGATTTGCATGAAGGATTATCCTTTGGAGCAAGGGAAACCCCTATGCTGTCACAATAACATAGTATTTTACTGTCCATCTTTCAAAACATATCTTTGCATGTTTTTAGAAGGGAAATCTGCAATTTCCTCCCAATTTAACACCTCTGCTGAAGTTCTGTTTTCTGCAACAGTGGAATACATTTTAAAACAAGCAAAACGCCAGCTAATACAGGAGATTAGATGCAATGGAGATTTGTAACTTTGCACAGAAATGTGTAAAGGTGCCCTGTACCTTTCTTTTGGCAAGTGCCCATGGATGGCAGGGTGGTGGAGTGAAGGCCTTGCAGAGATTTAGGGCACCCTCTAACATTGGCTCTGGGCAAAAGAGAGGTGAGGTAGCATTAAAAACAGTGGGGCTCACAGAAGCTGCTTCTGTTCATTTTATCCTGCTTTCACTTTCCCGTGTAGCCTCCCCCCCGCCAACATTTCCTGAGAGCCCCTAATCCTCAAGAGGTGCCTTTCAATAATATCAGGAGGTGCTTGGCTACCTGAGGAAGATCAGCAAGTAGTACATCCATTCCCAATGTCAAGGTGTAAAATATTTAAGGCTGGTCAAGTTATTTTGACTTCTGCGAGAAGAGTAGAGCTGGAAGGGGCCAGAAGGCCATGTGGTCTGACCCCCTGTTATTGCAGGATGCTAACTTACGCTGTCTCATTCAGGGGATTGCCCAGATGCTTTTTGAATGTCGCCAGTAAGGGAGAGCCCACAACTTCCCCAGGTAATAGGTTCCATTGTCATACTGCTCTGACAGCAAGGAAATTCTTCCTGGTGTCTAGTCTAAATCTGGTTTCGTTTAACACAAGTCCATTATTTTGTGTCCTGCACTCTGGAATCAATGAGAAGAGATCAACCAGTGCCTTCTCCTCTCCCTGGTAGTAAAAGACGATAATAATAAATTAAATAATGACCCTTTTCTTTCTTTCTTGACATTCCAGATCAGCTGCTTGAGGCAGCTGCCTCTCTTGTCTACTGGCAGTGCCCTTCCCCTGAAGGGAGCAGCGGGCTGCAATGTGGCGGGGGGTATGGAATCTCTTTCATGTGGGAGTTGCTTTGGATACAATCCAGAATGTTCTGTAGCATGTTAAAGACTAATATATTTGTATTACAGATTTTAAGAAACACAATGCAGCATCAAGCTCCAGCCATATGAGACACCTTTCCTGTTAGCTATGGTATCATTCATTCCTCCCAATAAAGTGAATACCCCTAACCCACCTCTGATCCCTGCACCAGACTTGTAACACTAGCTGTGTTCACACATGATGCTAAATCATGTTTTATGTTGACCATGCTTGTCTTGCAGATGAGCAAACAAAACAGTGAGTTTTCTTTCTCTATTTTTGGGTTACTTCTGCTCTACTCATCTGGCTTGTCTGAAGACAGATTCATTTTTCAGGCTGCTCTTGTCAGACACCTTTGTTTCAAGGGTGGATAGTAAAGCAAGCAAGCCAGGGATGTGCCATGATTTTGGGTTCAGACACAGAACAAGCCATGGTTTAAACCAGGGGTAGGCAGAAGATTGATCTCTAGTGGTTTTGACTTCAAGTCCCTTCCACACTGCCCAAAGGTCAGCAATGCTGGGGAGTTGAACTCTAAAACATTTGGAGAGTTGCTTGCTGCCCACCTGCACTTTAACCAAGCCAGCTTTCAAAAGCCAAGAACAAACTGTGGGTTCTATTTTTGATTTGTGGCTGTTTTAAAAACCACAGTTTGTTTACTAGAATGGGTTCAGATATAACAAAAAGCCAGATTTCAACAAATTTCAACAACAGGTCACTAGAAATGTTGACAGGGGAATAACAGTCATGCATCTAGCAGTGGAAAAAAGAAATCAAGTATTGCAAACCTGTGGAGATTGGGAATAGAATATCTATTCTGCCTGAAATATATGAGTGTGCATAGAGAAAAAATGCAAAAACTAATCTGGCTCCTGATAGTGACTAGCTACCCAGAATGCTGTTCATCATACGGTCGTTTGTTCTTCTGTGTCTTAGATTATCATGGTACAAACCCTGAACAGACTTGGATCTCTTACTCTTTTGCTGAGGAGCAGACTGCCCTGCATGAGCAAAATATACATCTCCCCTTATGCAAAAGTTTATTTTAATGAGAACGAGTATAAAACAGCTCATATGAGTTCTTAAAGCATGAAAATCTCTTAAGTATTTGGGTTTCAGGCTCCACCTATTGGTTAAAATGGAACAAGTGTCACACTGTGAATTATTATATCCTGGCCTTTTTCTAGGTTTGCATGGTTTAATTGACTTTGAATAAAAGTTTATGCCAGATGTCTGGCCAGCTGACCTATAATCAAAACAATTATGCTGTTGGCAAAACATGAAATA